GCCCCTCCCTCCCCGGCTCGGTGCCAGCCCGGTCACTGTTTGCCAAAGGCGTTTGTTGCTGCCCCTCCCGCTGCCAGCAGGGCTCCCAAGGGACAAAGAGGGGCACAGGAAGGGGTTCGGGTACCCAGACCCCCAACCCTCCTCCCCCCCCAAAGAAATCCCACGGGGATGTCAGCGCCAGCACTGCACAGCCGTGTGCTCTCAGCCCGAGCGCTTGGGGGGGGGCTGTGGCTGCCAACCCGGCCCCACGTTTGTCCCCATCCCAGCCCTGGGGGGGTCCCGGTGTCCCCGAGCAGTGCGAGGATCAGGAATCGTGCACAGCGGGGACAGCGAGTGGTGGGTGTGAGTGCCACCGCCATAGGGACCACGATGGCGTGGGGACCACGGTGCCACACCACGGGGACTGCAATGGCACGCCATGGGGGCCACGATGGCACAGGAGCAGGGTGGCACAGCACGGCTCTGCAGCAGCACAATACCGGGACCGTGATGGCACGGGAACCATGACGGCACACCATGAGGACAGCGATATCACACCGTGGGGACCACGATGGCACTGAGGAACCCCCCCCCATCCCCAGCCCTCCCCACCCCATTGCCCCATCTGCCAACCCAATGCCACCCCACGTCCCTCCTGGTGACCCCACGCTGCGCTGTGGTGCTCAGGGCTCCGGCAATGGGACGGGGCCCTACTCCTCCCCACCCCCCCCCGCCCCACGCTGGCTCCATATCCTGTTTACACACAGACCTGGCCCATGGGGGTGTCCCGTTCCCCCCCCCCCCGGAGCACAGCAGCACCCAAAATATCACCGTGTCACCGAGGGGCAGCCCACACACACCCGCGGTTTCCCCCCATCCTTTGGGTGGCACACAGCTGGGGGGGGGAGGGGGCTGAAGCTTGGAGGGGGTGGAAGCTGCAAACCCCCCCACGGGTGCAACCAGTCCAACCAGTCGCAGCTCCCAGCGAGCTGCAGGACGGGGGTGCGCAGCCCTTTTTGTGCGAGTGGGGCGACGGGTGGTGCGGGCGCAAACATCCCCCCACCCTAAACACCCCCAAGGATGGGCAGCCCCCCATTTCCCTGCTTCCCCCTGCACCCCACAACTTCGGGGCTTGCAGGTGACGCGTGCCCAGAGCTCAGAGCAGAGCAGAGGCAGGAGCGCAGCCCCCCACCCTCAGAGCAGGAGGAGACCCCCTCCCTCACCCCCACGTCTCCCCGTTGGGTCGGTTCTTACCTCGCCCAGGGCTGCGGGGGGGCCATGGGCCGCGCGGTGCCCGCTGCTGCCGCAGCCCTAAGGCTGAGTCAACCCCAGCAGGGCAGGAACCTCCGCAGCCGGCGGTGCCAAAGCTGGGAGTGGAGCCAGAGGTGCGCAGCGGACGGGACTGGGCTGAACTGGGCTGAACTGGGAGGCGTCAGGTGGACGGGGAGGGGAATTCACCGAGAGCGGTTGGAGGTGGAGGTGGTGGAGGTGGAGGTGTTGGGCATCGCCGACACGATGGAGGAGCAGAGTTGTGTGGGGAGCCTCTGCTGAGCCCCACCTGTGGGTTGCACTGGGGGGGACTGGGAGGAGTGGGATGGGGAGACTGGAGTGTGGCAGCCCACTGTGCCAGCCCAGATGTGGGGCACTTTGGGGCCTGGGGGAGGTGAAGGATCGCCATCGATGGATGCACCCACAGCCCCATGGATCCCACCCCCATGGATCCCACCCCCATGGATCCCATCCCTATGGATCCCACCCCCATGGATCCCACCCCATGCATCTCACCCCTATGGATCCCATCCCATGGATCCCATCCCCATGGATCCCATCCCATGGATCCCATCCCATGGATCCCATCCCATGGATCCCAGTCCTTCTCCTCACCCTGTGCCCCACTTTCCATGTTGGGGTGTGAGTGGGGGGGGGTGCAGAGCTCAACCCCACCAGCAAAGGGGGATTTATTTTTAGTGCTGTTTCTAAGGAAATGAGACTTCAGCAGCGGTCTGTCTGTGTGTCTGTGTGTCTGTTTGTGTGCTGCCCTCCCCTTCCTCTCCCCATGGGGTGCTCAGAGCTGTGCACACGTGTCCCCCAGCCCCACAACACCTCCCTCCCCCCAACCTCACTCCTTTTCCTGTGGGTACAGCAGAGATGCAGTGAGAACGGCCAGGTCTCTGCTGGGGCTCAGCAGCCCTCACTGCAGCGGATGGATGCACTGGGGTGATGAGTTTGCCAGGTCTCAAACCCGTGCTGGAGCTGAGCTCTGTTCACTGCAGTGACCACAGACAGTGCAGGCCGGGCATCCAGCACAGGAGCATCACCAGTGGGTGCTGGGCGTTGGATTCTGGGCTCTGGGTGCAGGATTCCGGGCTCTGGGCACTGGGTGCTGGCAGCCACCCCGCAGGCACCCAGAACAGGTTCTGCCTCATTTCTGCACCGGGTGCAGGGAGCGCGTGGGCAGAGCTGAGCCGGGTTTTGGGAGCAGATCCCAACCCCACACCCCACTGCCTCACATTCATCGTTCAGATCTCAGCGCTCCCAGGGGGAAACGGAGGCAGGGAGCGCAGGGCAGCTCATAGGTTGGACACCCTGGGGACCCCCAGGAAGGGCTGGGGGGGGCATGGAAGGAAACGGAGGCTTTGAAGGTGGCCGCGAAGGATGGGCACGCGGGGACGGAGCCGTGCACACCCAGGTGGGGGACCTCAGTGCATTTTTAGCTGCTGCTCTGGCACTGAAGGGACTCTGCTCCCCCCACGTGGGGCCATCGCGGGTGGTTTGGGGGAGGAACGGGCTGAGCTGCAGGAGCATCCTCACAGCTCGGGGCGGCTCTGCAGCTCCGCAGCTTGTGGAGGTCTGGCACAAAAGCCCTGGCACGGCAGCTGGTTCTGCCTGCACTGCAGCAAAGCCTTCCTGCTCTGCAGCAATCGGCTCCCAGCGCCAGCCCTGCTGCTCCCAAACCTCCCTGCACCGCAGGGCTGTGATTGCTGCCTCCGGCACGGGCAGCTCCGCGGGATGGAGGACGCCGTGCTCCCCAGGCGCAGCTCCTCGTGGTGCCTTCGGGTCGGAGCTGAGCTCGCCCAGGGGACAGCGTGGCCTCTTCTGAAAAACCTCGGCAGCGAGAGAGGCGCATGGAGACATCCACAGAAGTTTATTTCCCCTACCATCAGGATTATGAAACCACAGAAGCAGAGTTTAAATATTTACAAAGTAATCCAGCGCCCCACAGAGATCAAGGGAACAAAGGAAGGGGAGATGGAGGGATGGCCCCTGCCGAAGAGCGGCAGCAAAGCCACGGAGCTCTGCAGCGGCGGGGGGGGGGAGGGGAAAACTGGAAGGAAAGGGACAGAGCCAACCTTTGTGGCTGAGGGATGGGGGCGCAGCGAAGAGCAGGCAGGGAGATGGGGCACGGTGAGGGATGCACAGCCCTCGTCTGCTCGCCCCTCTGTCACCTCCCAGCCCTGGGGACACAGCAGTGGGTCTGCCTGCACTCACAGGGCTTTATGTCACACCAGCGATGTGCTAAAGCAGGAAATGTGAGTCCAGCACCGTGCCCACATCCCAGCCTGCAGGCTGCATTCTGTCCCTTCCCTTCCATGGGCAAAGGTGGCTCTGTGCGCTCGGTGAGGGTTGGGGCAGCTCTGTGGGACCTCTGCTTCATCTCAGCCCAACAGACCGCAGGGCTCTGCTGCTGCTGCAGGAGAAAAGTCTCTGTTCAAAACTCAGATTTGGTACAAAAGCACTGGGAATGGCACTGGACGTTGTCAAGGATCCCAGAGCGGGGATCCCAGCCTCCCCCAGCAGCTCCTCAGCTTTGGCAATGCTCGTACAGCTTATCTCTAACGCACGGGGACGCGGCCCTGTGAGTCTCTGGGTTATTGCTACTGCATCAGATGGGTTGGTTGGCTTCAGCCCACGGCTCCTGGCACGTCCTTGGAGGGTCTCAGACTTCCCTTCAGAATTGGGGCACGCTGGCACTCATCTCTCCCATCCACCTGGGGCACGTCGGCCCACAGCCAGGCAGGGCAGCTCAGCAAGGCTCCACGCTTCCCTCCTCAGGTTCTCTCCGATGGAGATCTCGGCCCTGCAGCCCGCTCTGCACTGGGCAGGAGGTGACAGAGCACAGAGACAGCAACACCTCCGGGTGGGGGGACGTGGGGGTGGGCGCTGAGGTCTGCACAGCACCAGCAGGAGGTGACACAGACAGCTAGGGGGCATGGAGAAGGGAGGGGAGCGAGGAGACGTTGAAACAGGACCATGGGAGAGGAGGAAATACAGAGACGCCCAAGGGGAGACCCTGTGCAGCTGGGAGCGAAGAGGGGGAAGCAGAGGGGAGGCACAGAAGGAGCCAGCAGGGACCTGGAGGGGGCTTCAAAGTCAGGGTGACACAGGGGTGGCGTGCAGACAAGAAGAGCCACGGCCACTGGAGACTGAAATGCAGCACGCAGCGGAGTACAGAGCTGGCCGATCAGACACGTGGGGAAAAGCCAACCCTCCCTCTGCCATCAGAGGGATCTGCTAATGGCACATCACCTCCAGCAACACTTCTGCAGGAAGCAGCCTGGCTGCCGGCCCCACAGGAAGCAGCACCTGCAGGCCAGCGCCTCAGAGATCCCACACCCAAACGTCCTCAGCTCAGCGCTCCCATCCCCCAGCACTGCCTGAGCCGGGGCACAGGAGGGCCATCAGATCCCAGCACGGTGAGAACAGCATTCCTCACACCCAAGCCAGTCCTGCGAAGCGCTTTTACCCCAAGCGTGCTGTGCAAAACGCACCGCTGAGAGCCCTCCTGCTCCCAGAGGAAAACCAGTGCCCTGCCTGCTGCTGCAAAGCCCAAGAAGAGCAGCCTGCCTGCCAGGCCCTCTGCCTCCCCTTACGTCTCCAGCTCAGGGCTCAGGTGCTG